AAAGTCGTGATATTGTATCAGTTTAGAAATACTGCTGCTGGATGTTGATTCCAGAGAGTTGTTGTGCGTGGAAGAAAGTGCCTTGAACAATGTACTGCGAAGGACCACTTATCCAGATGGTTGGAATGGAACTTTAGTTTATAGCGGGTCGTATTGTAATAAAAATCAGCAGCAAGTAACAATCCGAACAGTTCCTGGTAATCGTAATTGTACGAAATGGTAATAAAATTATATTTGAAACCCTGAGCAATATATCACAATAAACTATAGTTGGAAAAGTTAATTATATTATATGTTCTGCTTATTCCAAATTACTGTAACATGAACTTGTGTAGGTCGAGGTCAACATACTGCCACGAGCGGAAACAATAGTTAAACAATCATTACAACAATAAAGACAAATTAGTTCTAAAACATGCAATCAGTTGATTGTATATTTGAAATAGTCGACGATTATTGCTCGATGGAATATGATAAATTTTATATTACATTATAAACTAGCGATCAGCCGCGACTTTACACGAGTTCAATGTACAAACAACATGATGTTAATATGGAGCAATTAAAAATATTACTACTGTTTCCATCTCGATAGCTTTCTAGTCAGTTAGTCAGTTCAAACTCCACATTTTTTATGCAACTTAGAATGGCAAACAAGCTGACGGTCCACCTGATGGAAAGTGGTAACCGTCGCCTATAGACATGAGCAGTATCATGGACATAACAGAGTACACTGTTCCACCCATGGTACCCTCCATGCGTTGCCATTCTTGAGGACTCAGGTGTTATACCTCTGTACCCTGTAAATTCACTGTCATATCCCATCCTTCAAACCGAAACACAGCCATGCAAACACAATTGCTTCACGGTAGAAACACGAATGGGATAGAGTTGCCCAAGCAAACGACTTTTGTACTAAGTCTCCCTCTGGTAAATAACCACATAACTTGTATTTTTTTTAATATTTAAATGGTTATAAAATGCTCTCTATGTAATATAGAATGCCATCTAGAATGCTAATGTCACGTATGGGCACCACAGAATATCAGCGCTGTAGCAATTAAATTGCTGCAGCACATGCTGAGTGGTGACCATGTTGGCAATAATAAATGTAAAGTTTTTTTTTTTTAATTCATAATGTATGTAACTTTTTGTTGTTGTCAATAAATGTTTTCTTTCTTTCTTTCTTTCTTTCTATCATTATTTTTTTCGTAACTCTAACAAAGATAAACAATTCAATTATATATTATTATATTATATTACAATTCAGCATTTTCGATGAAAGCTTTCAGTTGACCTATTATCTTCTGGTGTCATGAACAAAAATCGTCGTATTCTAAGAAATTAAAATAATACAATAAATAAATCGAGATAAAAATATAGCCTATCCTTCTCCATCCCATATAGTAGATCTGAACTAAATTTTATAGTGATCGGTTTAAACGTTATAAGGTAACATACAAACAAACTTATTTTCTCATTTATAATATTAGCAAGAGTAATAAATGCGAAAATTTGTAACGATGGATGGATGGATGGATAAATGTTTGTTACTAATTTACCCAAAAACTACTGAACAGATTTGAATGAAATTTTCTACATAAATAGATTAAAGCCTAACTTAGCATAGAGGATACTTTATGTATTATATAAAAAATGTCAACACTTACTAAGCAATGTTTTTTTTTTAGGTTTCCGTATCTCCAAAGGAAAAAAACGTAATCTTTATAGGGTCACTTCGTTGTCCGTCCGTTTGTCCGTCTATCAAGACCAATTTTCTTCGCAACGCGTGGTGATATTAAGTTGAAATTATTGCTATATACTCAGAACTGTAATCTCTTAAAGCAATGAAAAAACCAAGCTTCTAAATCGATGCAATAAAAAAAAAATACGGCCGTTTATGTTCCATTTATATCGCATATTTTGACATTCGCAAAGGGAATCAAAACCTGTAGGGTACTTCCCGTTGAACTAGAATCATGAAATTTGACAAGATACAATGTTATATAGCACAAGTAAAGAAAAATATCAGAAAACCGTAAATTTGTAGTTATTTCTCAAAAAAATTGTACTTGAAGATTTTGTACGGAACCCTCGTTGCGCAAGTCCGACTAGCACTTGATCGGCTTCTTTATTACACCGTAACTTCTAAATAACTGAGCAATATGTTATATATGGGAAATCGTTAGAATCCTTATCTCATGTCGAGCAAAATTGGCATTATTTTTTAATACATTCAATATTCAAAGGTATGGGGATGAATTTCTCGTCGATGGTGATGGTAAAATGTTATTTATTTTATTTATTTATTTATTGTACACACCATTATTTATAAAATATGACAGAAAACTGGTAATCAAATGTAAAAATGAACGGGCGGACTGGAATAGAGTTCTTTCCAGCAACACCCAAAGTGGAAAGGAGCATCAATGTCAGCGGGGAGAGCGGTGTACAATATTGTGACAATTTTTAATCAGCCACTTTCTACCATCATACGGCTCGCCATCGACAGAGAATTCATCCACATGTCCTACAGCCTCAATGATCGCGTACTGCGCGGTTTCAGAGACGTTTCCTCCCACGAACACTCAGGTTGTAGAATGAGCTCCCTCTCTTGAATGGAAGCTTTCCAAGAGACTACAAAATAAAAACACAGCTCTAATGCGTTCTTCAAACTATCTAGGGGGGTAAAGATGAATTTCTTCGATGGCGATGGTAGCGCGCGTTATTTATTTTATTTTATTATTTATTGTACGCGTTATTTATAAAATATGACATAGGCTAATCAAATGTACAAAGGCTGCTTAACTCTAATCAGGTTCTCTTCCAGCAACACCCAAAGTGGAAAGGAGCATCAATGTTTGCCAATATTGTGAAATTTGTAAAAAAAAGAAACTAGACAAAATTAAATTAATTACATTATATTTAATTGTATAAATATACATATACATAAATATATACTTACACATACATATATACATATAATATACCTACATATATCGCCCATTGTTTTCTCATTGTGATTATTTCTTGTAATTATTTATATTTATAATAAGTTTACTATTGTAATCTTTTGGAGGAAACAATAAAGAGTATCTATCTATCTATATAATTAATACTGATTCACTCAGGAAAAGCCATAGGAAACAGGTAGTATGTTAATAAATCGAGTCTCTAATAATATAAAGCGAATGCGTATAATACTGGCATTTGCACAAAATGTTTGTAAGATATTATGGCTTCGAAACATGCAACCCACAAATTATATAGTTGAACCGCTAATATACAAGTCGTATTATGCTGAATTGATTGAAGTACCTTAAAGTTATGAAGGAATCGTTAAAATTAAAGTGCCAAGTCATTTCACTTCGCCTTACGGATGTTAATTTAATCGGTTACTTCCATTAAAAAAATATATTCCGACCTTATTTATAGAGTTGGTAATATTTAATTTTATTTTAGAAATGGTTAATTCGTTTTTTTAATAATATTAAATAATGTCGAAAAGAGTTTATAATGTTTTTGTTTTTTTTTTTAATAAAAAATAATGATAAAACAGTTAATAGAAAAATTGGTAACCTTTATTAAGATTTTATAAAAAAAAGGAAGGGATATGTGTTACTCCATGAAATGAATTCATAACCCTAGTATTAAAATATTATATTTATTTATAGTATACATATTTATGTAATATTTTTGTATATATTTCAATATTTTATTTGACTGTATATTTGTTTATGTATTAATAGTTGTAGCACTTCAGCTGCCCGCTAACGAAATGCTTTCTCACTGTACTGGGTTGACTGGAAGAGATCTCTGTCCGAGATAAGTGCACCCTTGCTCACAACATTTATAAATAGATTATTTTATATGTAATTTACAAGTGCAATAAAGAATATATATATATATATATATATATATATATAAAATATTTACCAGAGGGAAACTTTGTACAAAAGTGGATTGGTTGAGTACCTCTGTCCCATTCGTGTTTCAATCATGAAGCAGTTGTGTTTGTATGGCTGTTTCGATTTGAAGGGTGGGATATGACTAGGTACAGAGGAATAACACCTGAGTCCTCAGATATCATGGGCGAAACAGTATATGTTATTTCCATGTTACCACTTTCCATCAGGTGGGCCGTCAGCTTGTTTGCCATTCTAAGTTGTATAAAAAAATTAATATTTTATCATTTACAAGTCTGTACCATGTCATGTATTATACTTATAGATATTAGACTGGATCTAGTGAACCCGGCGAAGGCGGTGGATGAGCATTCAACGTACCATATATTACATTCAGATATATAGATATTGTTAATATATAGTTATTTATATATTGACTTAAAATTATAACAAATGATGAAATATTGTACGTAATCGATATTATTCATGCTTATATTCAACTAGCGGCCCGTCCCGGCTTCGCACGGATGGACATTTTTACAACATTTTAAAAAGTGGTTATTGTGACATAACGATAATAGTTGGACATATAGTATCAATAAGTTTTTTGTAATTATTGATATTTTCTTCAATATTGTAGAACATACTTTTGTTCTATCACCAATAGTTACCGCAGCGCCCACGGCGAAAAAAGATAAAATATAGCATTTTTTTCACACCTTAAGTTACGTTACTAAAGTTTTAGTAAGGATCCCTAATCTTTTCTAGCAATAAATATAGCCTGTGTTACTCAGGATGAATGTAGCTTTCTAATGGTGAAAGAATTTTTTAAATCGGCAAAGTAGTTTTTGAGTTTGTTCACTACAAACATACACAAAAAAATCCAAACCTTTCCTCTTTATAATATTAGTGTAGATGTAGATTAAACTGGATCTAGTGAACCTTGCGAAGGCGGTGGATGAGCATCTAACGTATCATATATTGCATTCAGATACATAGATATTTTTAATATATAGTTATATATTGACTTCCAATTATAATATATAATGAAATATTGTACATAACCGAACCCAATCCTAAATTCAATATACTTACCCAAGATACCAAGTCTGTAGTTGATGGTGACAACGACGAGTCCCGCGTGGGACGCCAGGACGGTCCCGTCGTATGGGTTGCCAGAGCTCCACTCGTAACTTTCTCCATGGACGAACACCAGCACCGGATACCGAGCTACGGCGTCTCTTACACCTGCTGCAAAGTTATACAGTATTAGGTATGATAGAGGGAGACTTTGTACAAAAGTCGATTGCTTAGGTACCTCTGTCCCATTCGTGTTTCTACCGTGAAGCAGTTGTGTTTGCATGGTTGTGTTTTGATTTGAAGGGTGGGATATGACGTGAATTGACAGTTATGGTGACGGTTACCACTTACCATCAGGTGGGCCGTCAGCTTGTTTGCCATTCTAAGTTGTATCAAAAAAAACCAATGTAATGGAATACACAATGTATTTTATTCATATTTCTTGATTTTTTTTTATTATTATTTTTATTAAGAAATTTCGCAACTGCCTCTTGGCTACAACAGAATATTAGTTTTGCTCTTTTGAGGGCAAAACAGTAAACTTAGTTGTGATCATTTTATGTTACTATGGCACACGCATGAAGGAAAAAATGTTACTTGTTTTATACATACACACACACACACACACACACACACATATACATATACATACTCGTATGTATGTATATCTGTTATTTGTGTGCTGTAAGTAATGCAAATAAATTATATATATATATATATATATATTTAAAAAAATATCTGTATTAATAAAAAATAATCACTAAATGAGTTGATAAGCATAAAACTCGAGAACGACTGAACCAATTCGACTAACTCTTTTTTAAATATTTATTAAAGTCCCAGGAAGGTTATTGGGATAAAAAAATAAATAAAAAAAATTAATACAAACTGTTCCTAGTTATAAATTCGAACTGATTCGAGGAAATCGCGAGGAAATTGGATACAGCTAAAAATAATTGTATTATATTGTAAAAACTTTATTGTACATAATTTACATTGGATACAAAAAAAAAGTACAATAGCGGTCTTATCTCATAGAATGATCGCTTGTAATCAACCTTGATAATAATATAAATATGAAATACTTTATTTATACCCTAAAAGCTAAACCAGGCAGTCTGAAAATTGATATACACACGCTGTTTAGAGTGTAAATATACACAGTTTAATATTTATTCTGATAAAACAGCATAGTTGGGGCAAATGAACAAAATCGCGGGTGAAAGCTAGTAAATAACAAATATAAATATTACCATAGTTGTCTCTTTATCTTACTCTTGTGTAAATAAATTAATGTAATTATTAATTTTATTTGTGTACATATTGTTAATGTTTTTAATCTGTATCATTCTTTAAAGTTTGCATATTTAATGAAAAAAGAAAATTCACCAAATTGCATTGTCTGTGGAAAAGTAGAAGATGATCACATTCCATCAATAGATGACAGCATCTATTGATGGAATGTGATAGGAACCGAAGGGAAAGGAAAACATTTTTTTAAATATTTAATATTAATAAATTTGATGTGGGGATTGTTCAGAGCATAATGCATGCTCCTACTACCAAAATTGCTTTGTGCTTAAGTGAATTAGTAAGTAGTATTGTTTAGTTATTATTATAATAGTAATAACTTGTTTAGATTTTATGGGATTGACATGTTAAAAAACAAAAATTCCAAATTAAACGTAGATTAAAAAATAGTATCATTTCTTGAAAGGGAATTCTTCTAAGGGATTCTTTTAAAGAGTTTTCATTCATTTCATTAATTCTTTAATAATGATATACATCATCATGATCATCATTTCAGCCATTATCCGTCCACTGCTGGACATAAGCCTGCCCCATAGACTGCCATAAAGAACGGTCCTGAGCCACCTGCATCCACTGACTCCCTGCAATGCATTTCAGGTCGTCACTTCATGGTATATATATTAAACATTAATCTTATAATAAATATATTTATATGTACTACTAGCTGACCCCGTAAACGTTGTTTTACCACTTATCGAGAAATATAAAAATCGCTATTAAAAAACAGGGGTTGATCGTAAAAGGGTAAAAATTTGAAGCTGTATGTATTTTTCGATGCTTAGTCATAATAAAATAAAAATAAAAAAAATGTCAAAAAAATTAAAAAAATATATTTAGGGGTGGGTCACCCTTATCATTGAGGGGTATGAAAAATAGATATTGGCCGATTCTCAGACCTACCCAATATGCACACAAAATTTCATGAAAATCGGTAAAGCCTTTTCAGAGGAGTTTGGTAATAAACACCGTGACACGAGAATTTTATATATAAGATGTAGCATGCAAATAAATATAAATAAATTAATGTTCAAATGTAATATTTCGATATATTGAAATGTATTGCTTATCACGCTGTATGCACTTATTCCGGGACATTTAGTCGCTAAATCAGTATTAATGCTTTATTGTAAAGCTGTCTTGTGCATATAATAAATGAAATAAGATATGAATAAAATTTTACACAAATGAAACATTGCTTTTGCTTATATAAATGATTCAATCCTATTTTTTTATAATAAGTTTCTGTTTTAATAGAAATGCAAAATTGAATATTTTGTTCCATAAATAATTCGATCTAAATCTTTAATAAATTCTACACTAGTTATTTGATTAGAATTATTTTGTTTAATTCCGCTATTATTAGTATGTGTGTGACTGCCAACACTAGAAGATTGATCACCACTATTACTACCAGAAGTTCCACAACCTTCCATATTAGCCATCAATTACTGACTGCTATTTTGTTTACGCACGTTTTATGATACGTGTTTTACCTCTAAACGAGTAATCTTTAGGCAAATTATTGGATCGCTGCTGCCTAGTGTTAGCTATTCGGTACCTAAACTGTATTACACACAAACTTCGTAGTCGGAGATTGATAGCTAAAATAGAAGGTTGTGAAACTTTTGATACTAATAGTGGTGGTCAATCTTTTAGTATTGGCAGTCACACACATACTAATGTTAGCGGAATTAAACAAAATAATTCTAATCAAACAACTAGTGATATGGGTTTCCGCTAAATAATGTATAGTTCAGTAAAAACCCTACAGTCTTCTTATAGAAATAAAAAGATAGCAGATCTCTTTTTTTTTTTTGTAAATTGCTGAAGACATCGTTATACACATATACAAAAATAAGATCGAATTGAAAATCTTCTCATCAAATTCTGTAAGAACTGTATCTTATTCTATTTACTAAGGTAAACAGGTGTCTACCTTTTGTATAAAATTGTCAAGTTTCTCATCAGTAATCTATGAGTAAACGATGAATGAATGAATAAACCTTCTTTTCCCGTGGGTATCGTAAGAGGCGACTAAGGGAAGGCGAGCGATGGCCAGAAGCGGTCCCTTTTAAAACATCTCTAAAAGCTTAACTGTAGTTGCCACCTCGCCTGCCAAGCGTTGCAATTACTGGCAAAACTCCCTTAATGGAGAAGACTCATGTCCAGCAGTGGACAGTTAACGGCTAAAATAATAATAATAAATCTATGAGAAGGTACGATGAACACCGTGCACTCCCATGAACCACCAAATTTATCCGATATACCCAACTAATAATTATTTCTTTATAAATATTTATCTACCTGTGAATAAGAATAGACAAAAATTAATTAAGAAGAGAAACTAACAGCAATTATCCCACTAAATAACACTAACGCGAACCAATAAACGCGAAGCGCAAAACAATGGCCATTTATAATAACAAGAACTTGGCACAAGTTGTTACATTGCAAAAGTAAGCAACGCTGGCCCGTTGTCGAAGTAATAATGTTTCTTACAAGTACTTTGGCCATAAGGATCTTTTTGTCGATGTCGATATATTATTTTTATGAGTGCCTAGATACCAATAATGGTGGAGCGAATAGGTGTATGTTATACACTTTTGGAGGGGAGCCAGCGGCAGTGAGTTATCACTATTCAGGGTATTTTTTGGATATTGATAGTAACTTGTGACAGATAAAAATACTCGTACATTTTCCTGTTGAATATGTTAAAACGAAATTAAAGTTTCGTTATAGTTGGTAATAAAATAATGTTTTTAAATTTGCTTTTCTTTAAGCTATTGACAGGAATAAATGGCCATGTGCCATAGGCGACTAATACGAACTGGTCCACTATGATGTGGTGATAAATGATGAGACAAGGAAAAAAAATTGGACAGTTACAAAGACAACATTAAATATACAAAGACTTATCAAAATTATAAATAAAATCATTGACTGAAAGTGAATCTATAAAAAAGTATATAATAAAGGTGTAAAAGAGTTTGCGTTGCCCAGTCGCCAATAATGACCATTATTTATACAAAGACCTGACCACGTAGCTTAGAAGAACACGGCTTTACCTGCCCTCTAAATCACAAAATGTGATATTTTGAAAAGATCAAAACACGAATTCGTAAATTCAGAGTATAAACTGAGAGTCAAACTTCAAGACCCAAACCGCAATCAAACTTTGTCGGCTACAAAAGAACCTAATAACGCAATATTCGCAGAAACGTGGCAAAGAAAAAGTCTACTATTTTATAGAGTGAGAATTTTGAATGTTCCCAATATTCTCGCGTTATCTCAGCCATGATGGATCGGAACGAAGCGGATAAATCAAGTTTTTGTTCCTTCTCCGTTTGTGTCGGTCCATATTGGAGAGATAAGCGAATGATTTATGCTTGAGTGGAGGTTAACATAAGACTATTATTTTGAAGTAAATTTTGCAACAGGTTTCACGTCAAAACAAGGATTATTTTGGCTGTGTCCATCATCATCATCATCGTCTCAGCCATTATCTGCCCACCGATGAACATAGGCCTCACCTGTAGACTACCATAAGAAACATTCCCGAGCCAAATAAACTCGCTTCAATGCATTTGAGGTCGTCACTCTATCGAGTGAGGAGGAACCTTTCTTCCCCATCGGTTGTTTGTTCTTTGAGCTATATACTAGCATATTGCCACTTCAGCTTGCTTACCCTACGGGCTATGTGGGTCACTTTAGTTCTTTTGCGGATATACTTAACTCGGATACTGCCATGCACAGAAATTTCAAGCATAGACTTCACCATAGGGGGGAAAGGGATTGTTAGTAATGGAGACTGAGAATCCTATTGCTAGCAATATACCCAACCAGGTCGACCTCCTCGCGGT